GGGGGGGCTAGCTGTGCCGTCCTGGGGTGCGCAGGAGACACGCGGCTGGGCAATCGGCTCGAGTGGCTCCCCTCACATTGCGTCTCTGTGCCCAGATAGGAAATAAAAAAAATAATAATCACACACACAGCTACCGTAATGTACATTTATATTTACGGTATTTAAATAAATGAGCCGTAAAAATAAATCAATGTAAACCACTGCACCCCATGAGTATATTTCGGGACCCTCCCCCTGAAAGCAGTGAGTGACCACTGGCTTCTGCAGGTAAATATTTGAGGAGCTAATTTTGAGAGTTTGTCCTCTTAGGGGGGAAAAAAAATTAAAATCACTGAACAGTATACATGTGTCCCCACCATATCTATTCTTGAGCGCCTTGGCACCCGTTCCTCAGGGGGGGTTCGGGGAGGGAGGACGGTTGGGCATGTCTGGGTGCCCACACAGGCTCTCTTCTGTCTTTGTGGTGCATCCCTTCACACCTCAAGCAGAAAATAGAGCCTTTGTGAAGACGTTCATAACACATATGTCCACTGTCTCCAACAAGCGCCACATTCGCCACCCCTCCAGGAAAAGCCTGAAGGGCGGGGCTTACCTGAATACCGTGCTGTCATTGGTCACCACACCCAGACAGCAGCGTATTGAATTGCACCTGGACCACTACCCATCATAAGCTACAGTAACATCATCGTATCACTTACTGAAACCCATTGGTATTTTACAAAGACAGAAATAGTTTCTCCCCAATCTTAAGCTAATTTTTTTGTAAACTTCCAGCTGACTTTTTAGATTAGTCTATGCTTCCACTGGCCAAAGAACATTTATTTTAAATATAAGGGATTTTAAAGTTCCTTTGATTGCTTGGTGTCTAAATTTGAGTTTTAGTGGCCAGTAACATTTTAAAAGGCTTCATTCATGCACGACCGTCACTGGTATCGTTTATGTAGAAGGCGGATGTGCTGGAATGATGTGAGCAGCTCCAGTGTGGCTCGTTTTCACACGCAGACGTTTTTAATGAATTGAGTCGTCTCAGTGTGCCGGTCACTCATCAGCATGTGTGCAGTAACGGAAGCTCCGTGGGCCATGGAGACAGCCGGGTCCTCATCCTTCCAGTGCAGCCCCTGTACCCACCATGTTCTTCATCATGTTCTTTGCCATCCTGTGTGTCATTGGTAGGTGTCCAGTGACCTTCATAGTGATGTGCAGATAGGGGTCAGGGGTCCCTCAGACTGACGGTACCTCTCTGAGCTGGGCAGCGCCAGTGGAGGATGAGACGCAAGTGTCCCCGGCCACCTTTTTGACTGGATCAGAGTCATGAACCATTGGCCTTCCAGGTAAAGCCAAACCAGGAAGAGATGACGGAGCAATACTTGCTCCACAGCACGGATTGGTCATTTTTGACCAATCAGATTTAGCAGAATTTTACCCCCCCCAAATTGTTTCCAAAAGCAGGGAGCCCGGAGATAGCTGTGGCTCAAACTGGGCCCGTGTTTTGGTTTCTCAGTCCAAACCACCGCTCCAGCTCCCCGTTCTCCAGACCATCTTCCTGCGGGAGTCTTCCTCACGTTTGGACGTCTACTCCCTTAACCTCACAGGTCTTTAAGAGGTGCTGGGGTGCCCTTTAGGGTCCACATGTAAGCACAGTGCTCAAATGTTCATGAAAGAAATCCCCGAAAACACAAATCAAGCTTAAGCCTCACAGGAGAGTGCTGGGTCCCTTGTCACCTCTATGTCACAGCGGAAAGGACAGGAGACAGAAGCGTAGACGGACAGGGGACAGTGACAGCCCTAAAAGCTCACTCACAAGACTTAAATACAGCTCCTGTTCACATTCAACAGAAAATGGTTCTTGATTATTCCGCAGTGGGGTTCCTCTGAGGGGCTGTAGTAGGGATGGTTCATGATTCATATCTGTAACTGACAAGGGTTTAAATCCCAGAAGGGAAAATGCTGTTGTACCCATACATAGATGTATGGGGGGGTGGCAGTCCCCTCCGGCTTACTGATCCCAGTCCCACTGCAAACTCGGTCCATTTCAGACCCTTCACTGTCTTTAGTCTTCAGTATAAATGTATCCTCCTGTATACGTTGTTTTGGAAAATCCCATATGCTGAGCAACTTGGTATTATTGACCATAACTAAGAGACAGCTTATTACAGCCACTCCCTCTGCAACAGCCCCTCAAGACACCCTGAAGACTGAAAATTATATTATCATTGGCTTCATTGCCGGCCAAACTGGCCTCATTGCTGGTTCTTTACAGATATTTTTGTAATGGTCAATCATAGTCCCTTCCTCTACGCCTCAAGCTGTGTTTTGAATTAAACGCGCTGACCTCAGCACATGGCTCATTTTTCCACATTTCAAACATTTTCGCATCCAGCCGCTCATTACTACAGTACTGTACACCGAGATGTTAATTAGCAGCAGCGCCCTGTTTGTCGTATTACTTGTTGCGATACAGAGGTTGCTGTGTCTGTGTGCAGTCTGAGTTAATAAGCAGGTCACCGGCGACTCTGCCCTCTATTGACGGGAGCTGCTGCAGGTTAATGGCAGTGGCGTAAGGAAGCGATACATTTCAAAAGGATAAACCCGATTCACAGATAGACAGCTTTACCCGAAATACCACGCTGTAGGTAGCGTTTAAAAACTAAGGAGCTGGATCAATTCTTGCGCACTTCTCACCTTGGCTTGCCACGCTGCCGCTTACCAGCCATAAAAATGTACGATGACACGTAAGTTAAACATAGCGCAGCCCTCCTTGATCAGACATCGAGTAAATTGATTTATTGCGACATGCACCAAGCGCGATTGGTTGATATTCTTCGCACACATTTCCAGCCTAAAGATATTTTAAAATTATACTAATTAAATAAACGAAAATCCACAGCAAGAATAGACATTTAAGCCAGAGAGGAAGTATCCATAGATTTATAGGATGAAATATTTGAATTTCCTGATCATTATGCTTATGACAAATAATTCTTCTTCTCTGAATCCATGATAAGCACAATAATAGCATTTAAATTATTTTTGTGTACAGATTATTATTTTCAAATATGTAATTATTTTATAAATTAGTTATAAGACACATAATTACACCCTGGCGTCTGACAGCCTATACTCCTAGCAACAAGAAAATATTTTCCTTAGAAATTTAAGAGAAATTATATTCCTCGCGAAGGCGCTGCCACATATAGTGACCTTCCGTATTCTGTATTGGTGTTAGTGAAGCCACGAAAATATTATAATTTATTTGCTAATGGGGCTGGGTGTGCGCGCCCCCGCCTCGGTGCGCGTTCACGCCGGCAGCGGTCGACGTTCAATCACCAAGCCCCTGCGTGCAAACGCATGTGCCGGCGAGAGTCCGAGAGTTCAGGCGGCTGCAAGCTGGTGTTTGTCTGCCAAGTGGCGGGCAGGGGAGAGCGGAGCGGGTGGGTAGTAAAAAGTACGGCACAGCCAGTGTGACCCGATGGGAGGAGAGGTAGGTTGGGACAGAAGGGCAGGGCTGGCAGGGTGCGGTCTTGAGCGGCAAACTGATCTTTCGGATTCCTTCAATTTCCATTTCAGCTGGGAATCGTGCGCCACAGGGACGCATTCAGAGCCAACCAGAAAAGCGCAAACCACTGTGGGGACACACTTTGACCACTACCCAAAAGCAAAGAACAGCTCCAGGTCCGTCTGTGGCCGTTTCTCACAGCAGCAGAGCTTTGAACCTGTCTGCCAAAATAAACGGACTTTCCTATTTATTCTCATGTCTGCACTTCAACTCAGAAAAGGGAGCTTCGTAGTGTGAAGGGGACGGCATCTCCTGCTGCTCCATGGCTGCGTCTGATTCGGCGGAGTCTCCTTTTGCGCACCAAGGATGGAGGGAATTAGGGACTCGGTGATACACTCCTAAAGATTGTGTCCACCCCCCTCCCGTACCCCGTGGGGAAAATAAGGAGCTGCAAGCGGGCAGGGGGTAGCCTAATACGACGGGGATTTGCGATCTTGCCACTCCGGCTCGGAGTGTCCGCCGGTGTGCCTGGAATGCGGCTGTACGCATGTTTGGCGTTTTTCACCGGCTGCGCCTTGATTCTCTCTCCGGTCAATGAGAGCTGCGGACCGGGAAGGGGGTACGGCAAGCGGCGACCGCAGAGGAAGCTCACACCGCTCTCATACAAACAGTTCAGTCCCAACGTGGCCGAAAAAACCTTAGGGGCAAGCGGAAGATACGAGGGCAAAATAACCCGGAATTCGGAGCGATTTAAAGAGCTTACTCCCAACTATAATCCCGACATCATCTTCAAAGATGAAGAGAATACAGGTGCAGACCGCCTGATGACACAGGTAAGACAGCCATGCCACGGATCTATCGCATTTCTACTCGACCGGGCTGCGGATATCAGCGCACTGGACGTTTACTTGTTGATCTGAGCGCCGATTGCACTTTGACCGGCGCTTAAACCTGGGCGAACCCACTTTATCGATTCTCGGTTATTGACTTTTTCCCTCTTAAGACTCGGTGCGAAGCAATGCTTACGGACGACTGCTGTTTACACAGGTTACATGCTAATCGGACCCGAATGCACGTTTCTGAAATTGCAACACGTTTGTTACTGGTTTGGTGTAATGGGGAAATCGACGCCTGCTCAAGCGTCTAAGACCAGTTTGGTTATATATTTTTTCCGGTGCGTCAAGTGGGAATGTGTCTCTGTAACCCCCTGGGATAGGCATCGTTAATGTGCAAACCTCATGGTTTGCTTGAATTCGGACCTTGGAAAATCAGGGCGTTTCTTACCAGGTTCAAAAATATATACTTTTATAATTAATTAGCATCATTCTTGCATTCGGGACGTTGCGTTGCAGCGACTCCAAATATATTTTACTCTAAGGTAGTGACTGCATTTAATCCCACACTATGTCCTTGTTTTGAGACGCCGTTAGAAAAACACCTTGTTGCCCAATTTAAACCCCTATGAACGGCGAGCGTTCACATGTTTGCCGTGAGGTTTAGCTTGATCTCTACTGGACAGTCAGTACGGACGGAGTCATTCATGTGGTTCGCCATTTGATTTACCTTATTTAAATTCCCAAGAATGATCATTTATAGCCTGGCCATGACTGCATGGGGCTGTCCACCTCACTGAGGTGCTTTCTCTCACTCCGTCTCTCCTGTCACCTTACACACGGTTACACATTGCTGAACGTTTACTTGACCTCGACACAATTTATGAGCTCCAACATGACTGCCGCCAACTGTTTAAAAGACAAACCGCTGTTTGTTTTTATTTTGGTTTTGCTTGTTTTAGCGTGGGTATAAAAATAGCAAGGCTCACGTACGTTTAAGCCTTAATTATACACATTTTCCTCCCTTATTCCTGAATCGGGGCTGATGCCCCCCCCCCCTCCCGGGAGCGCGCAGTCGGCCGGAGGTGCGCACAGACCCGCGCTGTCAGTGCCTCCGCCAATGTTTGCGCAGGTCGCGGTCACTGCGAAGGCTCCCCTACAGAAGCCCCGTCGATCTCTACCTTGAAAGGAAAACCAACAGAGTTCACAGGCTGATTTATGAACTTCAGTTCACTTTTCTGCGACCGCAGAAGAAAAAAAATAGAACTCGAAATCCACACCATCCTGTGAATAGGCATCTATTACGGATCTGTAATAGCCTCCTCTATTCTTATCCCCAAAGCACAAGGCACCCACATGGAAAAATCTGAATTATTTTGCAAGTTCTAAAATACGACTTCTGTCTTCTAGCGATGAACATTGTATATAACAGTGTACTTTTCACTTAGAGATTACCTGTTAGGGAGTGAAAGGACTAGAACTAAAGTAGGCCTATATTAAATATGTTTAAGTGGCGCCAAATAAAATACAGAAACGACCAAAAAAGATGAGGGAATGGTTGCCTTCCTTTAAACATGGTCTTCTGGAACATATGTCCATTTTCTGTTTCATAAATCAGTATTGTATATCAGCGCTATTTGTTGGCTCGTGGGCAGCATTTCGTAATTTTTTGCTCTGAAATACTGACGTTAATTTAGAACAAAACACTGTCACACCGACCCCGGTCCATTTGTGATGACCTTTGCGTTTTGTCTAGTTTTGCGTTTTGGACGCAGATTGTGTAGCCTGAACGATGCAGTGTTTTAAAGTTTGTATGCAAATCATGCCGACACTATTTAATAGCTTACGGACATACAGCACTATTCAGGCTAAAAAATCAGGAAGAAATGCACGCGTGCAATTACTGCCTAGCTACGTCGGTGATAAACTTAGTCAAAATAAGTGCAACCGGGTTTTAAAATCATGGCTGTCTTTCATCTTGGCACATAGTCGGATAAATAACTTCACTCCATCCATCCATCCATCCATCCATCCATCCAGCCAGTGTTCTTCCTTTTGTCACGTTAAAACAGGATGAAACACGCAGGTACGCAGTGGTACGCGCGCCTGCCTAATACACACTATTGTGCTTGGTGAACTTCACCCAGGCAAACAAGAATTTATCTGTTTGGTTTACAAGCGCAACATTCTTTGTGCGACGTGTGTTCATGTTGAGCTGTCTATATTTATTTATCTGTTCATTCGTTTATTATAATGGTCATCTCACTCTTTAATAAAGGCATAGCCTATTATATATTCCACGTGGATATTTCACTGCCTAAAGAAATCGGGTGCGTTAATTTGATACCGAAAGCTGTTTGCATGTGAACATTCACACTATGAAATGAACACCGGCGATTGCGCTCAATATCCGGCCCGGTCTGTCGGGTCAGTACCGTGATAATAGCTGCGGGGCTTTTAGTACTGTCTGGAGTAATTAATCAAGATAACGTTTATCAAATCTCCGTATTGTTATGGCTGGCCATATAAATCTCAGTAAACTATAAAGTCGGTGTATCTAAGTAGAACACTATCTGGATATTTCTCATGGGGAGGTTCGGTATTGGTGTGTGACAGTGATGATGCACCGTGCCACACTGATATCACGGGTAATTGAAGGATGGCTTTTCGTTTGTTTCCCTTTGTTTACACTCACACTCACCAGCTTTCCACCTTGGAGATTAACAGGAAGGCAGCCCACTCTGCCCCAGTAGCAAGCCATACTGGGATCAAGGGCACGCTTCAATGGTGAGGCGGGGCCGAGAGAAGGCTAGGAAGGTGATGAGCGTAGGGGATGGGGGGGCCGTCTGCCTGCTGGGGGTGTCTGAGTGTGGGTCTATAGGATGGGGGGTGGGGTCACACCTGCCTGAGAAGGGGCTAGAAGGCAGCCCCCTCAGGTTTAGTGAGCAGCAATGAGTGTGTTCAGTGATTCCCCCCCCCATGCACTCACATGGGGCCCGGCTAGCCTGTAGTCTTATGTTCCCGACTGAGCATTATGTTTCACACAGGCTGGGTCCCAGCGGACCCCGGCTCCCGTCATAACGGGGCTGCGTTGGGGATGGGGAGAGTGATGTGAGACACACACACACACACACACACACACACACACACCCTGGTATTAGATCATTTAACTGTGCGGCACGTCCCATCCCTGCTTGGAGCTGAGCTGATGGAGGTCCGGGGGCCACAGTCCACGGGGGCAACACTTAACTGAATTATTTAACGCGAGTGTGCGTTCATCGCTGCGTGCCGGGATGTGCGGTGCGGGGTGGGGTAGGGGGGGGGAGGCGGAAATGGAGCCCTTGGCATCTGTTATCTCCCATAATGTGTGTCTGGTGGACTGATTTTTTTTTTTTGGGGGGGGAGGTAAGGATAAGAGATCGAGTGGAGATTAGCCTATGGCCTAGAATCCAAGGGGGGACTAAATCGCAGACACTGCTGGGGTCCGTCTCCCCGCACCGGCCAATCCCACGCCGCTGACATCTGCAGAGCGAGGGGGGCTTTCGGGCTGGCTAGTGCGCTAGGCGTTATCCATGGATGAAGACCGGCGAGACGGCGCTGTCTGTCAGAAGAGGGCGGAGACGACGTCTGTAAATGTATCACGGAGTGAAGCAATAAAGCAATTATCCACACCGCAGGAGCATTATGGGAAATGCCGCCCTGCCTTCCCGTGCGGCATCGATCGCTCCCGCGATCTTGAACTTTGTCTCCCTTTATGCGTTTGTTTGCTGGTGTACATTATGCTGTTTGTTTGATTGGGGGGGGGGGCTTTCCTTATTCTATCACGCTCTTCCCCAGTCACCATGTTTAATTGTCTGCTGTCACTATCTGTCAGTAGCCTGTGACATTCTGCTCGCTGCCTTGTCGTAGTGTTTGATAAGTGGGTGCTGGTGGCAGACAGCCGTGCCGGTGTCTCCGTTTGCTGGTGAGAGAGCATGCTGATGGCGTCACTTTTTCCTGTCTGGCTCCCGTTCCCCCATGTTTCCCATCTGCTCCAGCGTTGCAAAGACAAGCTGAACTCTCTGGCCATCTCAGTGATGAACCTTTGGCCTGGGGTCAAACTGCGTGTCACCGAGGGCTGGGACGAGGACGGCCACCATTCCGAGGAGTCTCTGCACTACGAGGGCCGAGCGGTCGACATCACCACCTCTGACCGCGACCGCAACAAGTACGGCATGCTGGCCCGGCTGGCCGTGGAGGCTGGCTTCGACTGGGTCCACTACGAGTCCAAGGCCCATGTGCACTGCAGTGTCAAATCAGGTGGGTGCTGGACCACTGTGGGGGGTTGGTCAAGGGCGGGGCATCTTCAGCGCCTTTCGTTCATTGGCTGAATGGTTGCCTGCCATCTTCGGGGGTGTGGTCACGTTTCCATCAGACTCCCGGGTGACTGAGGGGGTGCGGCCCCCTCGGGGGATGGAAGGCGGGCGGTTTGTTAGTGCGGGTGAGGTAAGCACCAGACCTGAAGAGACAGGTAACAAAGAGGAGGGGGGGGGGGAGCGGCGCAGAAGCCACATCATTACAGGACGAGGTGGCCAAGTCCGCAGGGAGCAAATTAGGGTGGGAGGGAGGGAGGGGGGAGGAGCGGCGACACAGACGGCACCCCCAGGAGTCGGATCCCCACGAAATCCTGACAAAGAGCACCAAAGCCAGCCAGACGTGAAGGTGCCCTAGTGGGGACATTCCGACAAGGCAGGAGATGGGAGTTGCGTCCCCCCCCCCATTTCTGTCCCCTCCCCCTGCCCAGAGGTATGCCATAAGTGTGACTTACTCACTGGCTGATGTCTTGGTGTTGGGTACATCCAGGGTACAACGATGCTTGTTCAATGCCTGTATCAAAGCCCCCGCCCCCCCAACCCTGGAGTGCCCTGTGACACCACGCTGGTCATCTCATAGAAGGGCGTTGGGCAAAAAACCTGTCCTTGGAAGATGTTTCTAGAAGCAGCCTGTCATCGCCACGACGCACGGTGCAAACATGGGTGGAAACAGCTCTGGTCTTTTCTGTGGTTGGTTAACAAGCTTCTCTTTAGGTGTGGCCATTCGCACAAGCAGCGTGGTGAACACAGGCGGTCCTATGGCAGAATCCCATTGGAGGAGTGGACGTGTTTATGGATTGGCTAGCCGGTGGCCTCTGATTGTACGGGTGTAATGCAGAGGAGGGCCAGGGTTGGTCAGCTGGGAAGTGTGGGGCTTTGGAGCCCAACTGTTGTGCTCTGGGGGACCTACTCCTGCAACACAGCGATTAGGTACGACAGGGATCTGCTTGGCATGGGAAGCTGAAAGCTCCTATTGTGGAGTCGCTTCACAAAGCCCTGCTCCGAGACCCTCTGGTCAAGCTTTTGATTTACACCCCCGGCCCCGCCCCCCAAAGCTGATGGCTGTCCACTGGGGCATCATTAATTCATTCTGCACCATCTGACTGGAGTGTCAGTGGTACACCCATGTGGCCTCACTTGGACACTGCGCTCCACCAGACTCCACTGCCAATACTCATCAAGTCGGACTCGGTATCAAAGTGACACGCATCCCGGTCCATTAGCCATCCTGCCGCTCATATCCCTCCATTTTCCTGAGTCATCCGGGGATGTGTATCGGTTGTGCTTTGGCTTATAGGTTTATCATGCATGCTTTTCTTTATTCAAGAGGTGACGGTATATATAAAGTCATATGTAAAGCTCTTTGTGATGCAGACATCCCACAGTCTGTCCGTCCATCCATCCATCCATCCACCCATTGCGGTGTTGACCTTGGGCCTATCTCAGGAGGCCTGCAGCCCAATACTTAATCATTCTCTTCTCATACGTGCATCTGGCATGCATCCAGCCCCCCCGAGGACCTTGGTCCAGCCGCAGTTCAGTTTTGATTGGTGCTGTGGTTGAAACAGACGGATCTTCTAGAAAATCTATCTTCCCTGACGTCACTCCACTGCAGAATTTCCCATCTTTCCCCTTCCCTCCTCTCCCCTCTCTCCTTGCGGTTGTCTTTTTCTAGCCCCCTCTGCCCAGATCAGTTTGCGTTTTTCCAGGTGCCGATCTGGTTGCAGTGGCAGCGCGTGCGGGGGGGGGGGTGGGTTTGGGGGGGGTGTAGTTTCTTCCTTTTCACGTTGATAAGAAGAGACAGGACATCCAAAATGTGCAACATTAGAAATGAGGTGGATTGTTCTGGAAGAATTCAAAGAAAAGTAAATATGGTGGAACAAACATCAGCTGAACGGGAAAAAGAAAACCGCATGACTCGCTGTCCTCGGACATGGGTGACGTCACGACGTGACATTAGTGTGACTTCCCGGTGCTTCGTGAGCAGAAAATGAATACATTATTAAAGTTTAAAGGAAGGGTTTCCAAGAAGGAGCAGTAAAATTCTATCCATTTATTCCAACCTGTCTGTGGCCCAGAGAGACCCATCATCAAAGGGGGGGGGGGGCAGTCAGGGCAGGGCCCTTGGCAGGAGTGCAGCCCAGTCCCATTGCAGCTGAGCCCAAAACTTCAGGCTACAAGTCACCTTGATATCTCCTGTTTTTATTTACTGCTGTATTACTTACGGAGATTTACGGGGGCACTCCTCCTTTAATGGCCTAGTTCGGTCTTAAAAGACGGCTAAACAGCGAGTTGGGATCCTGCCTTGATGACACACAAGCTTGGCTCCCACCTGCAGACTGTATTTCAGGTCCCGTGGCCATTAAGCTCTTCCTAACGTTAGTTTACAGGAGAGCAAACCATTGGGGGGCTTCCTCACATACTGTTTTAAGGTGACCTGGGCTTCCCTTAAAGCTTCACAGAACCATGAACAGGACCTTTGATAGGCTGCTGGCCGAAATCCTGGCCGCACTACATTACCCAGAAGTCAGTGCACAAGGAGGTTTGATATCATTCCATACATCATACTATTCTGGGAGAGTTTGGGTGTGAAGCCCCTCACGGCATGAGATCTGGGCCTCGTAGTGGAGTTCCACAGTGGGGTGCCCCACCCCCCCAGCCCTCTGAATATTTATGGGATGTCGGGTCGTCATCGTCTCTCTGTTGTCAGGGTCACTCATAAAAGATCGGGCTCCCCAGAATCCTCACTGGGTGTTTTTAATATCCAACTGTGTGCTGGACTTGGGTGATTGCTGGTGCAGGCGTGTCTGAGTGTGTTTTTCGATTAGTCAGAGGGTGGGAGTGTGGGCAAGGAGAGGCAGAGAGGAAGGTTATTTGTTGACAGGCACAGCAGGTTACGATGGCGGTGAATAAGTTCCTTCAGATGATTAACCTGCTCCTTTGTTGTCCAGATGGTAGCGGCTCTGTTCCTTTCCTCAGATCTCTTATCTCAGGCTGACTTATCATCAGGCCTTGGTTCTCTTACCTTTCCCAAATATTTGTGTTAGACTCACCGGAGACTTGAGACACCAGTTAGCCCTCCCCGTTTCGTACCGTGACCTCCGTGCATTTCCTCTGGTCCGTGGCCCGGGACCTGCGATTGAACCGTTTGGTTAATTTATTACCTTTTATTGCATTTTTAAACGCTGAGCAGAGAGTGGGGGGAAAAAACGGGCAAATATGTAATTGTAGGTAGGAATGTGTTTGGGGGCACGAGCGAGGTCTGAAGGAGCGGCTGTGTGTGCGTGTGCGTGTGCGTGTGCGGGTGCCCTTCACGGGGCTGCGGTCTCTCTATCAGAAGTTAAGGGTTTGCAGTTACTGTGATTCAGCTGCATGCAGCCGAACAGGGAGCACGGACCTTTGGGAAGCCCCAGTCAGAGGCACGCGGTCCTCTGCGTGTGGCTGAATCCCGAGGTCTCGTCCGGGCTCTTGGGCTGACCGCTTTCTCCGTCTCTCCATGACAGAGCACTCCGTGGCGGCCAAGACGGGAGGCTGTTTCCCTGGAGGAGCTCGCATCATCACCGAGGGAGGGGTCACCAAGACTATGCGGGACCTGCGGCCAGGGGAGCGGGTCCTGGCCTCGTCGGGGGTCGACGGCAGAGGGGAGCTGGTCTACAGTGAGGTCCTGGCCTTCCTGGACAGCGACCCCGAGGCTCGCAAGCACTTTTACGTCATCGGGACTGAGGCTGGGGAAAGGCTGCCTCTCACTGCCGCCCATCTGCTCTTCGTCTCCGAGGGGAACTGCTCGGGGTGGGTGGCGGGGAGCGGCTTGCGGGCGGTCTTTGCCAGTGACGTGCAGCCTGGACAGTGCGTGGTGTCCGCTGCGGATGGCAGGGGGCGCCTGTCACGCGTGGCCTGGGTGCACATCCGCGAAGAGCGAGGCGTGTTTGCCCCACTCACACGGCACGGCACCGTGGTGGTCAACGGCGTCCTGACCTCCTGCTATGCCGTCATGGACCAGCACCACCTGGCCCACTGGGCTTTCGCGCCACTGCGCGCACTGTACAGCTGGGTCGGGCCGCTCGGTCGTCGAGCCGATGGCATACACTGGTATTCCAGCGCCCTCTACTGGATTGGGACGCTGCTGCTGGACTCAGAACGGTTCCACCCCTGGGGTGTGGCAGACCCTGAGAGATGAAGGAGGGCATGAAATAGGAGTGAGTGTGAGAGAGAGAGAGAGAGAGAGAGAGAGAGAAGGAAAAGAGGGAAGAGGGAGGGGAAAAAAAGAGGATGACAGATGAAAGGAAGAGGGATGGGAAGAAAGAGAGGAGGGAGGAGTCAGAAGAGTAAGAATGCTGGGAAAAGGGGAAGCTAGAAGGATCTAGAGACACGTCTGCTCTGCAGAGTCCCGGCAGCAGGAGGAGGCCTCGAGACTCATGGGAAAATGGATGAGGGAGACGCGACCTGGGTCCTCCTGAAGAGGCAGCTCAGGGCCACCACCCCCCCTGGTGGAGGGATTAGGGAAACTCAACTGGCAGCCAATGCTTAGGACTTCTGTAGGACTTCCAGGGGGAGAATCCTGATCAAGGAATAACAGGGTTTCCGTCACTTGTGTGCCAACAGAACCAGTGGGGAAGCCCTGGACTAGACCTGCAACACTGACACTGGACAGCAGAAGGCGTGCCCTTTCAGACACGCACACACACACACACACACAGTCACACACACACACACACACAGTCACATGGACCCCGCGCAGGTGAGCGCGCTCAGGGAAGCCCAACAATTCTCATGGCGGAAGGCTTTCATTGGAACTCGACCCACTGCTCATGCGGGCCCCTGGACGACGAGCGGTGGATGAAGCAGGAGGGGGGGGGGGGTAGGGCGCCGTTAATCATTGGCAAGATGTCTACACTGAAAACCGGGCTCGTCAAAGACGTGGCGCAAGAGCCGATGCTGAACCAAAGCCGTAATCATCACGGTGGAGTGAAACAGTCAAGACGGAGATTTCATCAGCGTCTCGGCGACCAAACATGCCGAACTCCTGTGTGTCCCATTCGCTCCCCTTTGCTTAAACGCCGCTACGCTCTGCTGGGAATCCCGTTCTAAATGTGTAAATCCATTGTATTGCCTTGTTAGAAAGTACTTAACTATTTTATGCCCACATTTACTTTGTATTCAGAGAGATGTCTAAATGTCTATGATGTTCATGTCTTGGAAAAAGAAAATATTTAAAGATCTATTTTTGGAAATTAAATATAATGTAAATATCTGCTGGTCTGGCCTGCTGAGTCCTGTGTGGAAGGCCGTGTTTGACCTACGGCACCTACAATTCACAGCCGCACAGCATTCTGGGAATGGACTTATCACTTTGGCTGTAAAGTTGGTTGAAAGTGGTTAATTTATAATAATTGTACACATGGGCTGAATTGTGTGTGTGTCGAGGGGTAGTTAGCCTCTTTTGCAACAAGACTTAAGAGTTTATTACTGTTGTGTAAAACACAGTCCACAACTGATACAGCTGCTGTCCCAGAGGTCAGAGTTTCTGATGGGATTATGTATGGAATAACCCAGGATAAGGCGCCAACCCATAGCAGGGGCACACACATACACACAGATAGGCAGTGTAGTAACTCCACTTGGGACTGTGGGGGGGGAAATGGAGTACCCAGAGGAAACCCCATGACGACACGGGGAGAACATGCAAACTGCCATGGCGTCTTGCTCTTAGCAGAGAAGCGGGCAACTGACATGGTTATTTACCCCCAACCCGCAGCCCTGGTGATTTAATGCCTAGTGGCAGCCAAACGGACAGCAGGGGGAGTCCTACCATTCCTGATGACAAAGGAACAGCCAGTTTTACATTCCGACAACATGGGTTGTCAATTATTCTCCTCGCTGAGAGAATCCAAATCCAGAAGTGAGGAAGAAAGGAATAACGATATGGCCTTGATTGATGTGTCAGATGACACCGCAATACATAATACCTCCACATGGTGGTAGTACACAGCATAACTGAGGACACGTGTTCTCATAATCAAACTGACCCTCATTTTTCAGCAGGTTCAACCCATACTGTCTGGGTATAACACCCCCCTCAGACAGAAGCACAAACTGTGAAGATGTTATCTTTTTTTACCTATGCATACATTTTTTTAGCAGATGCTTTTGCCCAAAATGACAAAAATGTTTTGATCAGATGGCAGGGACAGGAACAGGAAGTGTGACCGAGCCCCTGGAATCCGGCTGCACGTGAGCTTGAGAAGGGAAGGGGGGTGTTACGGGTGGGGGGGGGTTGTAATGAGATCAGGGAAAAGTCAGGATGGCAGGAGGCGTGGAACCTCAATCGCCAATGATAAACAGTCATGTAAACATGTAAACGCACACAAAACTACAGCTAGATAAATAAAACGCCACGATGATGAGGTCAGCTGATGGACGGAGGGTTTTAGCATTAGCCTTGTGATAATCCCCCCCCTCCCATTGGCTGACAATCAAGGCCAGAGTGACTGTTAAAGGACATAGATGTGCAAAACAAATACTGATAGTAATGATGATAAATGCTGTAATGACCAGCGAGGGGTGGGGACAGCCTTCAGTACCACGGACAGCAGTGCTCTGCACCTCTCTTCAGGGGTCAGTCCGGGTTAAGATTTCTTCTCACGCTGTTTGATGCCCCCTGCAGGCTGTCTGATGTATTGCAGGCAAATCTCCATTGGCTGTCCAGTTCCTGCTCCACACCCTATATTTATATATATATATATATATATTACAGCACTTCATTTGAGGATCTTTCTCCGTTCTAACCAAAGAAAAGTCTAGAACTGCAGAGGAACGGCAGATAAAGAAGAGACAGAAATCTGGGGTTCAACCCGTATTTATTGCCAGAGTTGAGACAGCTGGTCACAAGGAGTCGAATAAACACGTTTGTATATTGGTCAGTACGAGGTGAGCCTAGCCCCCACCCCTCCCTCACTAAAATCCACACATAGCACGGGGGGGTGGGGTGGGGGTAGGGTAGAGAATACTGCATGCGTACGACAACACAACTGGTCTGAAGGGGGGTTAGTGTTTACTGGTATATACACTAGGCATGTGCTACAGGACGCTGATCCATTACAGAGAAACATCAAGCGGGCACTGGGGGCTTCGGACTGGCCCGCCACTCGGCTGCTGGTTAGACAGTTAAAAGAAGGGGAGGAGCACCACCAACTGGCCAGGGGGTGAAATTACAGCAGGCAAAGAAAGAGCAGTTCACCGGAAAATGGGCCGGGCGGCTCAAAATCTCCCGTTTCGATGGCAACAAAATATCGAAAATTAGCACATGACTCCAGTTGAGGGCAATGCAGTACACGCACGAAGCACGAAGTACACATCCACCTTACACAGAGTGCTCCAGCATTCCAGGAAATAGCTACGCAACACGACATGATTCAAATGGCAGACCACGCAGGTTACGAGCCACAAGATCCAGTTTGTATACCTGAACACAGAATAAAATCCAGCAAATGTTTATTTCACCGTCATCCGCATTTATATGAGCCAGGGAAGGGGCTGAGATCAAATCCAAGGTCTTACCCAACATGCTAGCATCAGCCTCGGAAGGTTTTAGGAATATACAGCGGATCTCCTAGAAAATACAGTAGCTACAGTTCACCTTCGAGCCGCCTTCAAGTTTCTAGTAAAAATGTGGCAGTAACTGGGAATTACCACATGCTGGCCCAGACGACAGACAGTAGGCAGAACACCTGAACGCACATCAATGGGTGATTACAGATACTTACACTAATAAACCAGGTAGCCTGTTTAATTTCCCCTTTTAACCCACCGTATTAAAATACTTCTGTATAGAATCATCTAGAAAACAACAGACATACAGCACATTTTTAAACTCTGTCTCATGTCAACCAGTTAGAGTACACTCCTTATCGTCGCTAAACTAAATTGCGATAAAACATCATTAAGCCTCCGGGCGGTGCATTCCGGAAGGCTTTATCTCACAAATGATAATACTTCCAGTATCTTCCATCAGTCCATTTGGGATTTCACTATGGTTCCTTTGCTGTAGGGGATAACCCACGGGCAGGCGAGCGGACGTGTGAGGATCGGGGTGGCAATCAGACACAAACGGAGCAGGTGTGGGGGTTGCATCCCAAAAGCGCTCAGGGGTGGATCAGAAGTGGTCCAATCCCCTGAGAGATCCCTGCCACGGCAGCCAATAACAATCTGGCGAACGAAACGAACACCGTACACAAGCATCCAGGGATTTAGGCAATGAGAACTGATGGGCTCAGAGGGACCACTGAACCTGTAAGCACGTTTTAAATATTAAACAAGGGTTAACCCACTCGGGGGGGGGCACAACAAAACGAAACAGAATAAATAAATGAACCAACAGCACGACGACGAGCCGGCTACCACGTTTCGACACGCAGCTGAAAAGGCTTTCCCATGATGCACGGCTGGCCCCTCGTGCCCGGGCCCTTGGCTGCCCCAGGCAGACTTCCGGCACAAGACTTCTGGGCGTGGCGGCATTGGCGCAGGGCAGAGGAGGCGCCCCCCTGCCGGCGCTGCAGCTCACAGGCGCTGGGTGAAGTTCTCAGGGAACACGCCCTTGATCTTCAGCTCCTTGGTCTGCAGCCAGTCGGTCTCCTTTACCCCCATCAGCCAGCCATCATCCTGCAGACAGTCCAACGGGGAGAGTCTAGAGTTAGTGTCCTTTATTCTGCACGTGTCCCTGTTCTCAGGCAGGTTTATATGGTCAGTATGACAAGGAGCAAGAGACAGAAAGACTTGCGTCAGAAATCTGTTTCTATGTAGTAGACGAAATATAGTATGCGACTTGAGTAGTATGACCCAGGTGACATACTGCATGGAAACTGCGAAGTGTGCAACCGATGGATGCTATGCTAAGGCTACTGGAGCAGCAAAGAATGTTGCTTGCTCAGAAATCTTTGTCAAGATGGCAGAGGAAGTGCTATCAGGCAATAGGCAAGATGGGGACTATTGTGTGAACAAATGTATGCATACATACCGTACATACTACACAAACAGTCAAGCAGTAGGCTTCTGGTGAAATTCAGTACCTACTGTGTAAGTATGTAATTTTGGACCCTTGGACTCCAAGGCTTCAAATTAAATCACTAAAATCTGTTATCTATCTGCCTGGTGTTTTTGCTACAATCTATGTACTACGAAATATCAGTGTCCTATAATGGTGTTTCGAGCGCATCAATGTTCACACTGTGCTGATGGCGGCCATTGGTGGACAGGCGAGGCAGTGCAGGGAGAACCAACCTGCTCATCAGGGCTGTCGTAGGTCATAACCAAAACCACATCCCCGGCTTTCATCTCCAGCTCATCGGAATCGTTGGCTACATAGTCGTGCATCACCTTGACCTGGTGTGGTACACGGTTTTATGTTAGGCAGTTGTCCTCTGCCCTCCACTCCAGGACACAAATGACGTCTACATTCCATCCCCCCATCCTGGGACACATAGTCCAGGATGGCTCTCTCAGTGCAGTAAGGAGACCCTTATGGGCCTGGAGACCCACACATGCAGCGCCGCAACGACACGGCGACAGCTCACCTTGTAGAGGAATCCAGGGGGCATCTCCACCTCCTCTGCAGATCCGTTGGTTTCCGCCGGCTGCGGTTCCGCTGATTCGGCCGGGACGGCATTCTGAGTGGAAACGGACATGCAAGCTGGCACCGGCCAATGGACGACGAGCAGACCGCGAGCACGGGAAACAACTCTGGGCACGTGTAACATGCGAGCGTAGGGAACAACTTACAGAATCGACGGCCGGCGCGTCCGAGGAAACTTCAGCTTTGTCCGTCTGCTGTGGGAAAGGAGGACAGGCGTGTGAGTCCCTACCACTGAGATGCGTGGCCTGAGTGACAGCCTCACTGTCCAATAAGCTACACAGGCACCCTCTTAATGCTCCTCCCACTTCAGCTGCAGCCTGTGTGGCAACATCTCTGCCCAGTCAGCTGCGCAGACACCCTTTCACCCACATGCCTATTTGGGACAGGGGTAAGGGGTAAGACATTCTTCCTGAGAGCTGTCCAACCCAAACACCACCGAATGGGGGGCGGTGGGGCTGTTTCCAGGCAGAGGCCCAGTTGGGACATGAAGATCAGATAAGGCTGAGGGGTACAAATGAAGCCAGCATCTTCACTGTAGGCCTTGTGCATCCTACTGTGATAGCCACCGAGTACAGGGGCTGAGCCTGAGTGTCACCATACTGTCCCCAGCAGGACCATCAGAGAGAAGGCGGTCACAGACCACAACAGAACCACAGACACCTGCGGTAAAGAAAGGCGATGAGTAGGAAGAAAATCTGGGCCAATGACAAGAGGGAATTCGATGAATCACCGTGGTGGTGGGCAAGGACTCGTCACGCCAGCTGGCACGTGCCCCCCCCCCATCCCCCCCCCGGCCAAGATGGAACCCGGAGGCACGGGAGAGTCATAGAGATGGGTGGAGTAGCCACACGGACAATGAGAGAACGGGAGGTTCTGGAGATAATTATCAGCCAATAGGAAATGAGCTTACCTCCCACGGGTCCCAAGACGCCGCCGCCTTCCGTGAGGCAAGAGGAGTGAGAGAGAGACAGGTAAACGACAAGCGTGCTCCTCGCTTTACAGGGGAGGGGATTTATGCTTCGTGGACGGGGATGCCATTAAATCTCCACCTTCGTAAATGTTCATACAGTGGCAGGAGCCAAAGAGGATTTCAGAAGGTCTTACGTAAGGCAGGGATATTAATGCTGCCGCACACTGTGGATTTTCTGCGGGGTTCTGCTCTGCCCTGTGCCGGGCCACCTGTCACGGCCTCCCCACATCCTCCGGGAGGGCGACACCCACCTGGGGGGAGGTGGGGGCGGCAGGGGCCCCTGGGCTGGAGGCTGGCTTCAGAGCATCAAAGTCCATGTCAAGCAGACTGCCCCCCGCAGGGGCCTCAAACTGCCACGAGAGGGAGAGAAACTGACTCTTCATTGGCCCATGAGGTAGGTGGGGAGGGGATGGTGCCGGGAATCATGGGTAATGGGTAGCAATGATAATAATAATAATAATAATAATAATAATAATAATAATAATAATAGGGTCCAGGTAACCCTAATGACAGCAGAGAAATGGGGTAAGAAGCTGGTGATGGGGGACTGAACCCAGAAGCGATGGCAAGATGTTTGATATGGAGGGACGAGGAAGATGACGAGGAAGAGGAAGGTGACACTTTGGGACTTGCTGACCTGCGAGGGGGACGTAACGCTAATGTCGGGCACGAATGACTCGCCAAACAGGTTGATGATGTTCTCTGTTTTCAGCTCTTTGGACGGCGTCAGTTTGGGTGGGGGTGGAACCGGCGGTCCAGGCTTCAGCTGGGGGTGGGGGGAGGAGTCCGAGAGCATTTTTGACATACACGCGAATGTGGTGGGGACAGAAATAGACATGGCAGATAGTTAGCAGACACTGGTTAGCGGCATGCACCTGAGTCCACGGCCGCATCCTGCCTGCATCCTACGCACACACTGCCATTTTACCTCCATTTTGTGAAGAGAGAAAATGAAACACAGGACCCCCCCCCCCCCAGGGGACACCCTTGAACGTGGCATGGTGCCCACAGAGCATGGAGGGGGAGTCACGACGCGACTCGCTGCCTTGGCCAGAACCTCCGATTGTCACAGCTCCATATTTACAGGCTTCGTACAATAAGCAGACCTCAGTCTTTCCTGAGTCAGTCTACTGCTAAACCTTAGATTAGATGATGCTTCTCATGCACCCCATCCCATTTCAGGGAATGTTACCTTGGAAGGTGACTTGGGAATGCCTGGGGCAGGGGTCCCCCCAGGTGCGAGAGAGTTGTTGGTTTCACCCATGTTACTACAGAGCAGAGGGGACAAACAGATCAAACAGAATCAGCAGTGATCATGTCCTGGTGAAGACAGGACAGGTGACGGTGACTTTTCATTTCACCACCAGGGGGCAGCACTAGTGGACATTATCTTAGGGAGACCTGGATGCTGACGAGAAGCTAAAAGGTGTGTACGGAGTTCCCCCCCTTCCAGCCCGCACTCTGCGGGATTCCGTTTCCCCGTTTCTGCCCAAACTTGCAAGCATCTTGCCAATCAGACCCAGAACAGGCGCCGAGCAACCATGCAGCCTCCGTGCAGCTTTCTCATGCAAGTGTGGCAAGGCTGCCCGCCCAGGGCTCACGCCAAGACAGCCGCTGCAGACGTTCCCTCCCTCAGGTGGATGCTCCACTCTCTCTGAACACAACTGGCACTCAATCGAAGCTCAACATCGCCCTCTAGGACCATGCAACTGTGACACCTTGGTGTCTGACCCCCCCCTCCCCCCCCCCCCCCCCCACCCCCCACAACAAGCTACCCATTACCTCTTCACTTTGACTTCCGTCTTCTCAACCACTTTACCTGCCTTTCTGTAAAGGGGGGGGGGGAGGGTGTTGGTGTGTTTAGTCTAAAATGTTTCCACCAACTCAAACCAGAGAAGGACGTGTTTGTTACAGGAGGACACCACCAGGGGATAAACCACACTCAAAATGACAGACGATCACGTGACCACAGGGGGGCGTGCCACAGAGTGGAGTGACCTACAGTAAAAGATACGGTAGATAGCTACAAGATAGGCTAGAGAGCCAAGCGTCAAGACTGCGGTAAATCAGACTCACTGTTCGTCCAGTTTGTTCAGCACGTCATTAAGGTTCAGACTTAGCTGCAGTGAGACAGAAAATGAGAAAGATAATGTTACGAGAGACAAAATAAGCAAAAGGAAGATCTAAAGTAGATTAACATCACTGAAATCATCACTGTAAAAGGCATCTCTTGCCTTGCCCATTTCTCTGTGAAACTTCTCCTCCAAACCAGCCACGCTCTGGAAAGTGTTGACATAGAAGCCAACTCGACTGCAGAAAGTGATAAAGGGATGCAACTCTGTAACATGCCCCATTACCTTGGACAACATGCTCGGAATTTAAAGATGGCCACCTTTCATCCTTCACTCAGCCTTACCTGTTCCACAGGGAGGGAAGCTCCTCTTGTAGGTCAACATTGATCTCCTCAAACACCTTATGGGCTCTCCCCAGCTCCTCCTCGGCCTGGACGACACCCCAGATGCACACATGCAGTTGGTCAAAAATCGCGGGGAAGCAGGACTGACCACTGAAGCGGTCTCCTGTGACTCAGGACTTCCGTCCCAAGCCTTCCTAACCTGTCCATGTCATAACGTGGCCATCGAAAGGTCGGCAGAGGTAGCAACTAGGGAGGTACCGAGAAAGGACAGGAAAGCAGCACACTTGCCAGAATGCGGAGCTATAAGAAAGGTATCCGGGGAGAGCGGGTAAACAACGGACACATGCAGAAAAGATGCACGAGCAATAGAAAGGAAAACAATGCTAAGTTCTGAGCATGCAGGCTGCAAGTCGTTAGGGTCAAATCTGACGGCAAGTCATGCAGGGCGGGGAGCTGAACTGAGAGGACGAGGTTAACATTCACCTGGCTCCGGGACAGGTTAGTCTGAGCCACATGGTGAGCCGACAGTATCCCCTGTGCCCAGCCGGGGGCTGCCTTCTCCAGAAGAGAGACCGGCTGGCCACGCATGGACGGGGGGGAGAGAGAGACGGCGAGAGGCAGGGCCGCGGTCACCATGGCGTTAAGCCACACCCACACACACCCAGTGAGACACGTACAGGGCAGCGGGCAGTGTAGAGATTACATTAGCGTGACAGCAGCTAACCAAGAGGGACCAACAGACACACACACGCACAGACACACACAGACACACATAGACAAATGCACAACACCTGTACATCATATC